CCCTCTTTAGTGATATTTTGGTTCTTTCATATTTTCAATTATTTTCTTGGCTAGCCACCTTACTCACCTAGTCAGCCTATTCACCTTGAAATAGGTGGTTCGATACCCTGAGCCAACCTTTTAAACCTTGAGGATAGCTTTTTTTTTTTGTGTGTAATTCAATGGAGATTATAGGCCCGTACCACTTTTTCGCATAGTTTAGGACTCAGCGTTTTCAAAATATTAGTGGGATAGTGTCACTAAGAATGGAAACCACAATATGATGATTAGGGTGTGGGTGTACTACCACTTTCGTACTCCAAATGTAACTAGGGCTGCCAGTAATCCGGGCTGGGTCAAAGAAAATGCGGCCCTTTATTGGGCTAGCCCGCAATGGCTCGAAACCCTTCTTGCCCCCCTCTCTCCCCTCTCTCGCTCTTTCTCTCTTCCATCTCTCTCGTCTCCATCTCTCTTCCATATGCCATTACTGTTCAATTATTTCGTCTATAAAAAAGAGAGAGAGATCGTCACTTACACGTGCACTTATTCTTTGTAATGGCCGATATCCTTGTATGCAATAAGTCCGTGCGCTGTTCTCCAAGAAGGTATAGAGAACAGAGCAAATGGGAATTCGCTAAAAATTGCGCTGTGAGAAAGTCGTTTGTGCACCGCTGAAAAGTTGACGATTTCTTTTTTCCGGAAGTTCGCCAGAAAATAAAAGTAAGAGTTTTCTTACACGGAATTTAGCAGGCATTTCTGTTTGCATAGGAAAACAAAGAAAATGGGCACCTCGAATATTGGGATTCCACTAGAAGTGCCATTGATCTTGACCAATTTGAAAGCCATAACTAAAATGTGAAGTTCCAGAGTCTAAATCGTAGGGAAAGAGAGAAGCAGAGTTCAAATCGGGTTTATATACGAAAATAGGGCAAAAGAAGAAGAAGCACCATAGATTTGAATTCTTAACTACAAGATCTCTAGAAAATAGGTTTTTAGATAGAGAAAGTGAGAGGAGGCGGTGGGTTAAAAAAACAAGTTTTGAGAGACAAAGAAAGTGGGTTTTTAGAGAGGGGCATGCTTTCTATGCTTTCTTTACTACATAAAACTTATAGAGCAATGATCCAATGCAACAGTTGTATCATAGTATAATACAAAAACACTTCTAGAAAACTATATTTATAGTATTTATATTTTACACATACACTCTCTTCATCTCAATAATCAATACTCCAAAAAAAAAAAATTCAATTTGAACCTTAGTTATGGTCAAAATGAGTCCCCTCCAAAAATGAACCTAGACCATTTATTTTGTAAATTTCAAGATCTTAGCCTTTATGATCAAAATCATTTTTTTCTTTTTCTAACATTGTTCATCTAATGATAATAAAGCCATTCAAAAAATTTGAAAATGAGAAAAGCATTCTAAGGCCTAGATCTAAGCATCTCACAAAAATGAACGGGCTATGCTAATTGGGCTAAAAAAATACTTTCTAGGTTGTGTTTTTAATTTTTTCTTTTTTTGTGATTGTTCATTAGAATATTTCAAAATTTAGATCAAACAAATGGTCATAAGATGGTTTTTTTAAGTCGTTGCATCATATTACTATACAACGTTTGCATGAAATCATTGTTCAAACTTACATACTTCCCCTTATCGAACCGTCCATTTTGAATGGAGGGCTAAGATTGCCCCAATCACAATATCGTGTCTCTGCACTATTTTATTTTTAATTTTTTTCTTATAAACTATTTTGACACCAAAATTTGTATGTCCAATCCTCTATTAAACTCGCACTAGCGAAAAAATATAGAAAAAATATTTTCAATAAAATAAAATGACCAAAATATCCCTAAAAATTTTAAAATTTATTTTGGTCATTATATTTTATCGAAAAATTAGTTTTAATATTGTTTATAGGTGTGCCCCATTGAGAAGATAGCATGTACGAAATTTCATATTCGTACAATTTGTATAAAAAAAACTAAAAATAAAATACTTTTTGTTTTGATAAACTTTATATAATTTTATTCAAGAGCTAAACAGAAATTACATCATTAAAGGCTAAAATCTTAGAAAGAGAAGTGTTGTTTTTAGCTAGACTATCAGTCAAAATATTAGCCTCTCGGTAAACGTGGACAAAAGAAAGAGCAAAAGACCGGGACAAGTCCAAAATCTGGAGCAAAATAAAACAAAATTGCCAAGGTATCTTCATCTCCCCTTTGCACCAATTGATAACATTAAGGGAATCTCCTTCAATAATGTAAGTCTAACCTAAAAACCGGTCGTTAAGTAATTTTAGGCCATGAAGAAGAGCCAAAAATACTTTGAGACGTCAGATCTAAGATCAAACGATGAATGACTCTTTTGATTAAAATTGGACGGCTGGATGATAGGGGAAACATAGATCTTCTATGATGTAGGGGAAGTATAGAAACCTTTCCGTTTAGGGAGAGAGGAGAGCGGTTGGGTTAGGGGAATGAGTTGGGTGAATCACTACCTGTAATTACTACTCGCCGTTCTTCTCAATATTTTTTATTTTCTAACGCATTTTAAAGGGTTTTAAATTTTCAAAAATAATTTAGCTTTTTTTTTCGGTTTACAATAAATTGAGAGAGATAAAAAAAGATTTATAATTGGGCCAGACCGGGCTTTCATTTGGGGCTTGGGCCGGTTCAGCACAGTGGCAGCCGTACACTGTAACATAGGGTGGGATATGAAAGGCCAGGCTCAACAAAATTGTCGCCCACCTTTAAGAAAAATTTGGCACCAATAAAGGCATAACAACATGCACTAATCACTACAGGCATGCATGGTTCGCGTGAAAATATTATCTGTTCACACTGATTAGTAATTATTTGATGTTAAAATATTCTCACATTAAACTACTTAAAAGAATTTTTTCGTATGTTAAAATATTCTCACATTCAACCACTTAAAAGAATTTTTTCATATCAAAATGTTTTTGGAAACCATTTCATGTGAACCAAACATAATGGGTGTGGCTTCTAAAGGTTGCAACCTTAAAAAATCCAATTCAGGCACACTTCCAAATTTTATCATAACATATAATTTTGTTGTAAAAAATTCTTAAGATTATCTGAAAATATATTTTCATATCTAACTCTAAAATTTTGAACCCCAAAAATAGTCAAAATCAAATAGATCTATGTTCATATGAAAATCTTGAAAACAGACGGTCTAGATACAGTGTCGCAAGATGCACATTTTCTAGGATCCAAATTTTTTTTTTTTTTTTTTTTGATATCCAAACATCTTAATGCCGAGATTATCAATTGGAGAGGGCTTTTTCTGGATTTTTTATGCACATCTTTAATTCTAGGAAAAAATTTGTATAGATCCCTAATTCCTCATATTATTTCTTTGTAGACTCTCTTTCTATTTTTCTTTCAAACAGCATTAGGAAACCCTTAAACATTTCATCATACCCCCTTATCTCTTTTTTCCATCTTTTATTGACTTTTGAACAATGGTTTAAAAAACGGATCGGTGATCCGGATCGGGCTTCCAAAAAACAGATCCGGATCGGCGAATCGGCGATCCGGATCGGGAATCGGGTGAATCGGTCATAATAAAGCTTAAAAAAATTCCGAAAAAATTATTAAAATTCATTATAAATATTGTTTTTTAGGAATTCAATAAGAAATGAGGGTAATCCATTAAGAATTTTCATGTTTTTGAATGAATATGCGAATATTGATATGTTCTTTCCCTGCATGAACCGCCATTCAGCATTTAATTTACATCACACAAAAGGATAAACATAGAATTAT